TCAAGGTAATTTTAATATATTGGAGACTGAAATGGATAACCAATCATTTCAAACACTATGATACACTGATCTACAGCGTTTTACTTCAGAATATACAAGGGTAAGTTAAAATAAGAAAAATGGAAAAAAAATTAGAGATACCACACTTGACGAAACACAAAAAACCTAATATTTGAAGGTAATTTTATTATATTTTAGAACAAAATGGGAAACCGCTCATTTCAAATATTGTGAACTACAGATTTCTACTTAAATTTTACAAAAGTAATCGTAAAGCGTAATCATGTGAAAATTAGGAGAAATAATAAAGTTATAAAAGTAAAGAAACCACATTTTAAGAAACAAAAAATTTAAAAACTTAAAATTCAAAGGCAATTTTCATAAATTTGAACGCAAAATAAAAATCCTGTCATTTCAAATATTTTAATACACTGAATCATCTACCGACTTCTACGTCGCGATTTACAAGAGGAAACGTAATCATGTGAAAATCAGAGGAAATAATAAAATTAAAGAAAATAAAGACAACAAATTTCATGAACCATAAAATTGAAAGCTAATTTTGACATATTTGATAGAAAAATAAAAATATTGAAAATATTGCGATACATGGAAACTACCGATTTCTACTTAAATATCTACAAAGGAAAACACATTGGAAGAAATAAAAAACCTGAAATCCAAAGTAAATTCAATATATTTGAGAGCATAATATAAATCCACCCACTTCAAATCTTGTGATCCACTGAACTTACAGATTGCCACTTGGAGACTTACAAATGTAAATTAAATGACGTGGAAATCAGGAAAAACAAAAGAAAATAGAGAAAACACATACGATTTTTAATCGATATCTTGTCATCAACTTGAGGGCGCTTAACCCGGACAGATTTTCAAGAAATCTCAATTTTTCACGACAATATGAAATGTACAAAGCTACTAGTTACATTGTTTCCGTTGACCCTTCCCTAAATTTTCTTCCTTTTACATTTTGAATAAACGATATTTTACTTATCCCTTTGGTTAAAGGTGAAATGGAAAGATCAGATACTCAATTGTGAATATGAATTTATATTGTATATGCATTAATAAATAATTAACATCTATACAAAATACGAGCGCCACCTATTTTCGCAAAGCTGAAAGTGCAGAAAATTTGCCTGGATCAAAGCCGGGAGACTCAATTACATGCATATCCATAGAGTATGTAGAAAGGGTTAAAAGCCAGATACCTACAGCAGGAAATCAATACTGTGACGAAGAGATTGCGCTCGTTTCGTGTTGTTAAACAATCGGGAGTAGCTCCCGAGTGAAATGTTTAAAGTTTTTGTCAATTTTTTTTTATTCTGAATAAATAAACCGATAAGTTTTCAATAGTCAGCCATACACCACCAAAGTAGTTGAGCATTAAAAATAAGCAAAACCCCAAACTTACTAAAATATCAATTTATTCATTTGTAGAATTTATTGCTAACATTTCCAGATTCATTAATCCCCGGCTGAAGCCAACAACCAGCAATCCACAGTTTATACATTAAGTGGTCCTCTAGGGCTTAAAATCTGCACACGTATTACAGGAAATTTGCTAAATGAACTTTTAATAGACTTTTTGAATGTTGGACGTGTTATAAATTGACGATGAAAAAGCCGCCTCTGAATTTTTTGTGTTCGGGTCAAAGTTTGCACATGATCGGAAATAACACTGCGGTTTATTCCGATAAATTTTCTCCGTCTAAATAATAGTTTTTTACTGTTAAAACCCACATGGAAAACTTCCAGCTAATAAGGACGCACACCTAAATCCTGCAGTTGCCATAAACATTATTGGCAGTTTCATGAGCAATAATACCTAGTTTATAGGCTAAAATACTAATTGGTTATACGAATTACCTATTATTCTTATCTTAAGCTCATGGAATGGCTAATATGTTGCTGCAGATGACTTTATGACTTAAGCCATACGAGCTGTAAAAGCAAATTGAATTCTATAGGTGGGCTTTAATTAGTTGAAGCCCTTTTCAGGACCCTTCAAGGAACATTTAAGAAGGGAGCGGGTCTTCGGTGCGGGCTATTGAAATTTGAGATGTTCTCTATAAGGATAAGTATGCCTAAATCGAACGTGTTCTCGGGATATCGTTAGCTATGCCAGTATCAGCCAGGTAGAACTTAAATTTTCCACCATGGCTATTTCGAAGCTCTCGACAGCTTAAAGCTTGAAATGCAAATTTGTGTGAGATTATACGGAAAACGATCAGGCTCTCTTTTTTACAATCCACTCGATATATTAGTGAATAATTAAGAGGCTCCGATAAACACTGTCAACTTCCGCAATCCGGCAACATTAAAAATTCATACTCAGCTAAACAATCGGTGTTTTTCTATTATGAATTATTCTGAATATATTGTAAAAATCATCGTAAAATTGGGGCCTGAGTTGTGCATTATAGATTTCATCAGCCCCTCTATGCGACTGGGTAGACGGCATCATTTCAAACCGAATTAAAATGGACAGTCATTTCGAAAAGAATATTAGAAATAAATTTTAAATTCCAATTCCATTAAAAAAAAACATTGTTCTTTTCATAAATGTAATAAAATTACACGCGATAGTTAAATCGGTCAATTGGTATTTTTTCGCATATAACTCGCCAAGTGGATTTATGCTCCGACTAGTAACCGAATTAAAGTTGATAACAAATTTAATAATCACCATACAAAAATTGAGCGAGTTTTAAGCGAAAATAGCGCTCGAACAGGAATAATAATTATTGTTATTAAATGCATCAGGTTCTGCTATTTGAAATATTATCCACATGTACGCTAATTGAGGTTGTTGGTTGTATTTTATGTCGTTCTTGTTACACATGTTTTTTTGTACAAATCAAATGTATGCAAAATTTTTCTCTGAATTCACATTCCTTATTGGTAGCATACTGGTCAACCAGCATTAAATTAACAAATGAAAACATTTTTAATTAAACTTGGTCGCGTCCTCCAAAAAGCTTAAATGCCCTCCGTTCGTAAAAATACTAGATTTACACAAAAAACTGTTCCAGCTCTAACGTGAAGAGCGAGTAATACCGGTCCAGAATTAAATAACGTTTCATTTTCAAGTACTAAATGCTTTATTTTGGACGTACAAACATAAATGAAAAGTGCACAGGGAAATGAAGTCGGTTTATTTGGCCAAGTTGGCTGGCGAATATTTTCCGTTTTTGCATTTATTGAGTCCATTATTCTATTTAATCTGAGCCTAAGCGGATTTCGCATCGAGTTCTGTCGACCGCGTTTGGCTGCTGTTTTTTCGTGTAGAATGGATTTTCGAATTATTAGTTTTCAATGCTTTGCTAATGATCTTCGGAACTTCAAACTAATGACCTAAAGAGCGCAGGCAGCCAGTTCGTTATACTCAATTTGCAACATTACGGTTATCACAACAACGCGCAGAAATACAGGTTTTCTTCATAATAATATTCTTATAAAGTTCTAATAGAATCAAAAAGAGGAAGTAAATATAATTTGGCTCGGATTTGATCAGCGCTTGAAATGTTAGAAACCAGAAAATAAATGAAAAGACCACGCGTTAAAACGGAAGCTCTTGATAATCTAAAAAAGAATTATTTGTCGCATTCATTATTTATTTATTTACTTAGTTATTTTTGTGTTATTTATGTTATTCTTAAATAATAGAAATTTCCTGTCTCTTTTGAAACACATTCTGAGCAGACAAACGAAAAGAAACACACAATGGAAGAGAAGATAAAAATAATATACAAAAACTTAATCTTCAATGCACCCTAATTTACAAACTTAAAGCATTAAATTAGCTGTAGTTATTGAACTTGGATTGTAGCTTTTGTTTGTGCTAAACCACATTAACCAAATGATGAGCGAATAAACTGGTAATCTCGATTTTAATATCTTCTGCGTCAAGTTATACTTTATTTATTTATTTATTTGTTTATTTATTATCAATTATATTAAATCTTCCATAATCGCCAATATTAGCGATTATGATGTTCCCGCTTATAAAACACATGTTTTGTTCTTAAATTCAACCAAATTAATAAAAACTCATCCATCTAATAACAGTCAACATTATTCATCAACAATTAAAAAAATACAGGGTGAATTAAAATTGGCGCCATTCTCTGAATATCTATTTAGTCCCATTGTTGTTGGGTAGTACAGAAAAAAATTGCATCAAAAAACGATTCTCATGAAAAACTCTGATCTTCACAAAGAATTAGATTATTTCAAGAGCATTATTTACATACATGTTGCTATATGTGCAACAAAGATTACAAGTAAGGCTAACCAGCAAAAGTAAAGGAATAATAAGTTTACTGAAAAATCATAAAATTAGGCTTGATGTTAAGGAACTTGATAGTACGGTAAATAACCTGTCTTCAAATGATTACTTCTCTTCTAAATTTTTAAAAGTCTCCAAAATTTGGGGCTCTGTTGGTTCTTCCTAATGACCTCAACACGATATTTCGATATTTTCAGTTTTTCGCAAGAATGGCTTTTTTACTTACTGATTTTTACAACACACCGAGTGAACCTTATGCACGTTCGACATTGTCATACATTCAATTTGACTTGAAATTAACTATTTCACAACTTCTGAATTATTTTGTTAAAACAACTTTTTGCCTTCTTACAACTGAACAATTTATCCATATTACCAGCTACAAAAGTAAGTCGTACTCACCACTAAGTTTAAAAGGTAAACTTCCTGTTAGAGGATCGGGATGGAACGGTCTCGGTCCAAAAGGAAAATGATGGAACCCAGCCTGCCTCGTTTTGGATCTGGGCTCTCTTGGTCCATCCACAGTCACTTTGATGGCCTTATTGTAGGTGGCGACTTGGGGTGGTTGAGTTGACACGATTATAGTGAGGGTAAAGCTTTTACCTGGAATTTTTCATTTTTAGTATCGTGGTAAAACTTTTAGTAATTAACTTTACAATTTTTTTCCAATATGAATGGGGACAATATGAACTGAAAATTAAAGTTGCATCGTCTTAAGTTCTAATGCAACGTCGAAATGCAGACAGAGTTTTTAACCAGTCCCTGTTTTATTTGGAACTGTTTTGCCAATACCAAATAACTTTCCCTAACTGCTACCTAAATTGTACAAGAGAATCATCAAGAGAAGAAAACAAATGTTATATGAATCGAAGTGTTTAAAATAAAATGAAGTTGAAGTTGGAAACTGTAAAGATCGTAATTTTAGCCGGTTGACTACGACCTAGATTATTAGAGGCGAAAGACATCATAAATTCAAACTTCTATGTATATTCATACGTGTCCTTCGGAAACATAATGTATTTCCTCAAAAAATCGAACTTCTGCACAATAATTTCCTCTTTCGAACTGCTTCTACTGTAGTGAATCCATTTGTCATTTGCTCCCAATGTGGTCTGAGCGAACGCGATATATCAGTGAAGATTTGCCCCCGATATAAACCATTCCTGCCGTCAATAACCTAATGATTTAGATCGCCCTTCTGGAGAATGAGAAAATAATCCTCATAAATTCTGTCAAAACGTCCTCACCACATAAAATACGTTTGGCCACCGTACAGGCCAGCCTTAATTAAATGCCAACATTGCAAAGCAAACACCAGTATTTAAGTTGTTTGCGATCGCGCTCGCCCATTCTCTAATCTATGAATTATACCTGAAAGTTAACAAATCCTTGATTTATCGACAGAACGGTCATATTTTGCCGCATTAACTATGTGTATTTTGGACGGTACGTGCGAGACCCCTATTTCATTCGAAGTCACTTTGGATAGATCGAATTGGCCTCACTAAAGCTAAAGTCATTGCCACACTCGATATCAGTGCTCATTAATCTTTAAGGCAGATTCAGTGAGAATTCTGAAAATCCTCAGCAAAAATGAATGCTGGAAATGTTCTAGATGGCTGCCGCTGTGAAGCTACTGGCCCTTTTTCTCAGATATTGCTTTATACAGTCAACAAGTAAAGGAATATTAATTTTTTTAAATCGCATTAAATTTAAGAAGAACATTCCAAGCCAACAAACATTATAACATTGCGTCAAGATGCAAAAACCAAGATAATTCTAAAGTGGAACTAAAATTAGTCATATACCGAGCATCTTCAAATGGGCGGTAAATACTGTAACAACGAAATGAGTTCATTTTAATGTTGTTCATTGCTTTGAGTTTTGCAAAATATTATAGGTATCTCTCTAGAAACGACTTAACAAGTGTTTAGGTTGATATTTGTGTTCGTCAAAAGTTGATTGCAAATTAAAATTCAAGTTCAAGCCATTTTATTCCAAACCAAACAAAAAAGTAAAGTGCTTAATTATTACTTGAACTTTGCACACTTTTTTATAATTAAAATAATCTTTAAAACATACATTTAAGTTAAGTTGGCATAATGAATACATCGCAAATTAAAATAAAATGAAAAAAAACTGCAAAAAATAACAACAGATTGATCCAAATTTGGGCCGAGTAATAAAACCGAAAGCACGTCCGAAATTTTAACAAATCCATTTGCGCGGCCAAATATTTTTAACAATAACCAGCATTCCGTATTTTTCACGGTACATTTTTGGTCAGGTCGGTAATATTTACTAAAATATATTTTCCAATTTAATTAAATTCGTGGCCCGTAAAAACGGATAAACCGAGGGGTCCGAACGTTAACGGAAAAAGTATTATTTGTTTCAATTTATGCAACTGTTCAAACACGGGGAACCATAAATTATAAAAAATCAGCAAAACAAGCGGGCTATAAATAAAAACTAAATCCTATGAACAAATTTTCGAACGCACGAAAAAAATATCGGAAAACATAAACAGAATAGCGCGAAAACGAGAAATCAATCAAACAAAACCCTATAATATGATGGAAATAGTGAATGCTCGATACGGTCATTCGTTAGGGAGTTTAGACTAGGAAATTTTCACTAGACCCATCAGAACTGACGACACTGCTAGTTTATTTTGCTAATATCAAACGAATCTTAATATCCTCAAGTTTATCGCTTTATTAATTTGATTTTAGCAGTTCGAAATTGTTCGTTTTTTGGCCAACTGTGAATGTCCGGTTCATTTATTAGAACAGTGAGATATTTTAAGCAATAAACCGCTTAGCTCTGTGAATAATCAATAATAAATCACAAAGAGAATACAGAAAAGGAATATCAAAAAGTTATAAGTCAATAATGGAAAGCAAACTCGATTTGGGTAAAAATGAATATGCACACCGTTAATCAAAAATAATAATGTTAATTACATTGTTGTTGTAATTTAAATATAATAACATGTAAGTAAAAATCTCCATCCGTATAGAATTAATCAAAATATGCTTTCCATATTAATGTAATAGCATATGAAGTTGATTTAATATAATATTTAGTTGTGTTTATTTTTTTTCCAAAGTTATATTATATTTTAGTGTTTTATATTTAGAAGATATTCTGCTTTGTTGATACAGTGACTTAAAAATTCATCAATTTATTGCTTACTCGGGAGGATTTTATTGGAGGATTAACTTAAAATATAAGTTTTTGGTAAGCGGCGGTTAACATACATAAAGAAACATGTAAACAAGACTGAGTATGAACATTTTAAATCTCCATTAAACCTGAGTCTATCAACTTTCAAATTCGTTCATTTTTGCATAAAATTTAAAATAACATTAACTATTTATTGATCAAATATGATATGCTGAGAACCAATCGGTAAATATTAATTAGAATATAATGGAGAAAACAGGTTTGTAGCTCGGACATATAGAAACCTACAAATTAGTAAAAACGTCCATTAATGCTCGAAAAATCCAGTTCGTTGTTTTTAAATAAATTTATTCGTGAAAACTCGTAGTATTTATTAAAGTGGAAAAACGCATTTTGCTTGGTTTTACTGATTATCGTTCCAATTATAAAAGACATTGGTGGCAAACAAACATCGCAAAAAGAACAGGAAAATACATCAGAATCTTACGGCTTTAAACAGAAACAGATGCAAAACATGAATTGATATAAATATTGTCCCTATTTCAGCATAGGAAATAATCTATTTTTTAATTTAGGTTTTCAATTTTTGTTTAATTTACTGTTCGTCCTACTTTACTTATTCTTCCTATTTATACCTTATATATGATGTATTTATACAGCATTCTGTTCTAATAATACGAAACCGAAAAATCACCCCGCTGTTTCAATTTCAACCTGAGACTAAAGAATTGTTCTGAGAAAGCCCAAAACCGAATCATTAATATTTCCATTTGTAATCTCGCAGTTTACAGGCTTCCGTGGGCTCCTCGGGAGCCGTGTGTATTCGGGGAGCCACAACATTATATCAAAAGCATTAAAATTTTTATTGCTAACCTCGACGTTCGCCCTTAAGATTCAACTTGGTTCTGAAAAATAAATGCCTACATTGCGGCGATGATTTAGACGAAAAACTTCCTTTCCGTTCTAACTGAGCAGCCTGCATCTTCATTATTAATTCTGCAGTGTATCTACCTGAAGAAGAAAGCAATGGAAAAATGTCCAAAATCACCACACTTTCGATAAACGTTAAATGTTGCTACGGTTATCAATTCAGGATTTTGAATTGGTCATCTTTTACTGTCCCCATCATGCAACAAAAGTTGGCTGGTTCCGTTCAACAAACTCGAAAAAATTCGGCATTATTAAAAATTGGCTCTATTCCAACGGGCTCCAATACTTTTGGAATAAAGACATGTTCCATATGACCGGGAAGCGAAAAGGACAGAATGAACAGATTTATAAAAGAAATTCATAAAGTGACAGTGAAATGGCCGACTCGTCGCATATCTGCGGAGATTTTTTCATCATTTCGCGTGCAAAATTTAATGATTTTCACGTCAATATGCCGCCAGTGGAAGATTGGGATAAGAATAATTAAAACTTGCCATTTGGAAAATTTCAGTAGCGATCATTTTTATTTAAAATGTCTAAAACATGGGTAGTCAGTCATACATAAAGTCATACTTTTTACGTTAATGTTGCATTTCTGATTCATGTCGAGATTTTATTTTATAAAACCCACATTGCAGCTACCGGCTTTAGCAATTAGCGATTTAAAAAATACATTAACTTTTTTTTCTTCAACGCCATGCTCTAGACCATAAACACCCATTACGAGTAAGCAGGTATAGGAGAAGAAAAGTATTTGCAACCTGACATGAAAGTGCTTTTCTACAATAAATTTAAGCAACAAAATGCAAAAAATCGAAAGAACTTAAACGAATGTAAGGCGCGTATGCGAATGCAAATATTACTAATTTTAACAAATATTTCTGCCTCCACAGAGCCAGTAAAATGCCTAACGTGGATGTAAGCAAAAGCAAAAAAAAAAATAAAATTGATAACGTTGGAAAAAGTATCTTTCCTACGGCCAAAACTGAAAATTTAACACGCTTGTTTGTTTATTATGTTTTGACGTGGGTGCATTTGGGGTTAATAATTAGGAAAATAGCGCCCATTAAAGATCATAAACGACCGCTTAAAAAGTGCTTAAAATGAGCCAAAAATGTGGATTACTTCTGATCTAATGCGTCTTGCCTGGTTTTCAATGAGCTCGTTCCATTCGTGGTGTTTTTGAGATATCATAAAAAATGGGCCCCTACCGCCTATGAACTTTTTCGCAAAAATTCAAAATTTCACTTGGTGTTTTTCATGTCCAATATAATGTTTCGGACCTAAAAGTAAAATTTTCGCAGGCGTGTTTTTGTGTTCAGTAGATTGCTTCAGAGCTTAGAAGCGCCGCAATGTGCATTATAAAGTATTTGGGAGTCTAATAAGGATAAAGCGTCGGTTAAAGACCCTGACCGCTCAAAAAATCCTGGAAATGAGCAGAAATTGTCGATTATTTAGGATCTAAAGCGTTTATTGTATTTTATCATGACATTGTTTTTCCGGTTTCTCGAACTGAAAATAATGTAGAATTCGTAGCATTTTGAGAAAATTGATACTTTTTTAAAAATAGACCTTTTACAACTTTTTATCGGTCAAACATCAAAATTTTTCACCCGTGGTTTTTTGTATTCAGGTAGATTTCTTCGTATGTCGGAGGCTCCCAACGTGCATTATGAAGTGCTTGGGATTATAATAAAAGCGAAAGCGTCGGCTAAAAATTGTGATCCAAAAATGGCGATTATTTTTGGGATAAAAATGACCTGAAATTCGAATTCATATATTTTCAAAACATCCACGCTTACATTACTTATGAAATTTTTAATCAAAAGGTGGGTTTCTTGTGTTTRGTAGATTGTTTCCGAGCTTAGAAGCTCTCCAATGTGCATTATRAAGTRTTTGGGWKTMTAATAWGGATGAAAGCGTCGGTTAAAGACMMTKACCGCTCAAAACATCCTCGARATGAGCAMAAATTGTCGATTATTTAGGATCTAAAGCGTCTAGGGTRTTTTTTYATGACATCGTTCAATTCTTCAGTTTYACAACATGAARATAATGTAGAATTCGTGACATTTTGAGAAAACTGATACTGTTTCAAAAACCGACCTTTTATAATTTTTGTATGTGTTGGATTGGAACGTTGGATTMTTCGCTTCTTTGGGGTGWAAATTATCTGAAATTCGTAGCATTTAAAAAAAATGATTGTTTAAAGTCTGAAGCTCTCCAATGTACATTATGAAAAATTTGGTTTTAGAAAAAGGAAGAYATGATCGGTTGAMGATCGGGACCGYTCAGAARCACCTTAAAATGAGCCATAAATGTAGATTATTTGGGATTTAAAAAGTCTAACGTGTTTTTCATTGAGCTCGTTGCATTCCGCGWTTTCCTGARATGAAAATKATTTAAAATTCAATGTATTTTGAAATAATTGATAYTAAAAAAAAATGACAGCGACCCAGGAAATTTCCAATCCMAAATKGWMATTTTTCAGGCCTGTTTCTTGTRTTTSATATATTGTTTCGKCCCTCAGAAGCTCACCAATGTGCATTCTAAAGTGTTTGAGTCTATATTTAAGAAGATATCGTAAAGATCGTGGCSGCTCAAAAACTGCTTAAAATCACCGARAAGTTTCGATTATTTCGGATGTCAAGCGACTAGGGTGTTTTTCAATCAGTTGRTTTGCCTGCGATGAAAATGATCTTAAATTCATTATGAAATTTTCATCTAAACTCTGAATTTTAGGGGTATCTTTTCTGAGTTCAATAGATTGTATCCGACATAAAAGCGTTCAATGTGCATAAATAAAATGTTCTGGTCTAATAAGAAAGATATCACCAGGTAAATAAAGCGATCGCACAAATAAGTCATAGTGTTCGGTTATTTTGGACATGAAGAGTAACTGACTCAGTCATCACTTACMGATCTTAACGGCGRAAAAATCGTATGAACTGTCTAAAAATTTTGTCGATGGGTAAAGTCTCAGTTGAGGAATTTAAAGCGTTTTGACTTTTCTGTTGAGATTTCGGCCAAGACTCAACATTAGTTATTAGTTATTACCGAATAACTCAAGAATACATGTGTTTGAAAAKTAATCCATGCGRAACACGTTCCATTCTACTCAAAAACATACTGTTTTTGAGTTGAACAATATTTTCTASAAAAAAATATTTTGATAAGATATGAAACTGTCTTTTCTGTAACTTGAAAAGACACTTGAGCTTTTACTTTCGAGTATGTCSTAAAAAAAAACTCAAAATTGGCCGGTTTTCGTGTACGAATTAACTAAACATTCATAAGCAAAAAGKGAGATAAATGGAGCATTTTATGTGGCAAACCAGTGTTAAGTGACGGGTGGAAATGAGAAAATTATAAATTATTTTTCAATTTCTTTGGATTTTGATCATTATAAATCAACTTCTTTCAAATGGTGAAATTGGGATTGAGAATTCAGATTCCTGATATTATTAGCAGTTTCTTATGAACAAAACTTTCCAGCATTATGGAAAACTAGTATTGAATCAACTTCAAGATCCGCACAAATCGTTGATTTGAGAGATTGTTTGCTATTAGTCCATGAGAAATCTACATAAATAATTGGATAAGTTCTATATTATTGAGGCGGATTCATTTTTTACAAACTTCTTTTTGGGCATTTTGCCTCAAAAATTTTTGTCTTTAAAAAAGACAGAATTTCCTCACGTCTTTTATTACAGATTGATAAATAGTGCTCCTATT